ATATTTTCCAAATCAATTATTCACGATTGTCGCTGTTACTCGTAACGGTGCGACTGTAATCATTGTCGACTGTCGAAAGGAAAACACATAAATCTGAGCTTAGCAAATTTATTTGAGACAATAATACATTCTTAAATGCTTGTGAATTTCTTACCATTTCAATGGCAATAAGAATCAAATTCCTGTTTTAACTATGTACATTGCATTTCCTAATAAATCATTGGAACTCGTAAATTATTTACGATGTTCTGGCTGCAGTTACACACAAATAAGACTGTGAAAAAGTACTTAATTGTTATTTATTGTATGTTTTTTTACTATATATATATATATATATAAAATATTTAAAAGCAGAGGTACCAACAAACATTTACAAACAGCACGTAAGTTATAGCCCATAACAATAACAATAAAAAACAAAAAGGAGGTCATGCGAACTCATTTTTATTCGGGAATTAACGGTACCCAACGTTTTTGATGTCGACTTATGTTTGCACTTTTTCAATTTGTCCTTTTTTATTTTGATTACTTTTTACCGCTTCTACTATACATTATAGTTGATATCTTGAATAGAAAAATAAGTTAATTTTATCTTTGATAAAATATGAATAAAGTTTCTACTATTCTTCAAAACATTTACAATATTATGTCGATTCCCGTCATATTGAAATACTTGCATGACAATTTAATGAATTATATTGATACGCCATCTATTGGTATATTACTGAACTAACCATTACCCTTACTGAATTATTGTTATTAATTATTTTTTTGTAATTGATTGATGGTGAATCTTCTCAACTTGGATGAATTAATAAATAAATCAGTTTTAGTACCAAACTGCATAATTGTCAATGTTTTATGTAATGTAATATACTATGAAACGTTTAAATATATTTTATAAAATATGTTTGATGACTACGTCAAATTGAATAAATAATGATTAATTACGTTAACTATTAATTCGAAGATGCAAAATCAGTTGAAACAATAGATATTTTTTGTCTGAGGCAAAAATAATGAAGTCTTGTAAAAAATATCATTATCTTAAGTATAATATACATAAATTAGAAACTAATGTTCCATTAGTAGTATAACTAATTAACACTTAAAAGTAAACATAATTTAGTAAACCTGTTGTAATAAAAAATAAATTAATTTCATTATAATTAATGTCAATCAATTGAAACACTAAATATTGATCAGTTATTATGAAAATACCCCATTTAAGAAACAACATTTCATTACAAATAAAAATAAGGTTGAAATTGTACTTTATATGTCTTCTTCGTGGAACGTCGACTAATATAATTTATAGACCGGATTACATTAAGGTGTTCATTATGTGTATAAACTGTGCATCCGCAAAAGAGAATAATGACCGTTTATTAAGTAAACTGGGTTTCTCGGAGGTTATTCTTAATGCCTATCCATTTTGGTTGCTTTTGTTTTGCGCAACACCTGTTCCGTTCGCTTTTCCACTCTAGATTTTCATTTTTCATATTCTCCGCTAACTTCAAAAGCAATCTAAACCGCAAATAACGAAAACGCGTCGCATACAAATTAGATCGACCTACAAAGTGCTTCATCTACAAAACCAAATATAAGTATATTATTCATTAATTTCTTCAATCTTAACATTTAATAATTTTATTATTGTTTATTTTTTATAGTAAAATAAAATTTATTGTATACAGAAAAAATAGAGTCAAACAACAATTGATCTATTTTATGCTTAGATTTTGTTTGATAATAATAACGTTTATTGCAACAATATGTTAACAATTCAAATCATAACAAAAACAAATAAACCGTTACAAATGGCTACTGACTATGTTTTGATTAATCATTCCCAAAAACCTCAGTGATTAATTTCTGAGAATGAGAAGAGATATATAAATAAAATTATAGCTTCTGGATAATTTTAAAAGAAAATCAAGTGAATAATTAAATATAGTAAAACGCTGATTATCCGGGTCTAAATTTATTGTGGTTCGGCTTAACCGTGGTCGAGTCTGTCTTATTATTTTATAAACTGAAAATTTTATAAGCTGAAATTGTCCCTGCAAATCTGCCGTTCAGTAAATCAAGTTAAAGAAGTATAAAATAATTTTACAAAGAAAACAATAAAATATACAGATTATTAAGTTTTTAAAGCAAATAAAAGCGGAGTTTGCATTAACCGTTTTTTTTTATTATCTTTGCTTCAACGTTTTATTGTAATTAAATTATTATTATTTATTTGATTTAACAAATATTTTAATGGTATGTATAAATATTTTATTATATATCAGGGGTTATCAAACTGTGCACCGAGGAAAAACTACTGTTAACATAAAGTTCGCCCTGAGATCAATGTAAACCGAAAAAGTTTGGGAAATAAAATATGAATTCAAAATATAAAAGAAAATAGTACATTATAACAAAAGTGTAGATTTGTATTGAAACATTTTCCTATTTAGATTAACTACTAAAGTGAAGAAAACAAATTGAACACATGTAAAGCTTAGAAACATTATCAAGTTTAGATAACTTAGGTTACAACTTTAACAAATGTGTATACAGTGTAATCAATTACCTTTGAAGTGTTGACATAATAATAATTGACTCAGATACAATAAAACTATAAACACAGTAATTTAATTAATAAGTAAAAAATATTATTATGTTTATTAAGAATTTTATTACGATTTATCAACATTATTGAAAATAAATAACAGATATTAAATGATGAAAAATTATATAACTTGACTTGCATTTGTTGGTTGTGTATTTATTGGGTCTTTTCCTTGGAGAATGTGTACATTTTAGTTGATGTTATTATTTATATGGTTTAATATAAGAAGAGAAGCACTTTGCCCGACAAAATACGTTTCGATCGATTCGATTAGATCCGTTTCATATCTGTCCCAGATTCTGTTTAATAAGAGGAAACAAGAAAAAAAAATGTGACGAGGAATTTTCATTGCAATGTATTTTCAATGCAAAATGCGCTTTCTATGTGTTAATTATTAAGGTTAATAAATGGAAAATATTTCAGTTTCTACAGGAGACATTTAATCAGCGTCGATTGATAGAGGGAAAAAAAGAGCTTTCTATTGCAATAATTTATGTGAGGAAATGGGAATTTGGAAAATAAAATGCTAATATGATTTGTTTATATAATAATTAAAGGAAACAATTCATAATTCAAAACAATAAATTCTGTGCTTGGTCGTATAGTAAATGTGGTTGTACCACTGGGCCAAGGTAACGGTAACGGCTACGTCACCAACTAGTGTTGGGTACCCATCAAGAGACAGAGACAGTCAGCTGTTTAGTGAGGAATGTGTGCACCGTTACATAACTAGCTTCGATTATCCGAAGATAAAACTTTCCGAATCGGGATCAAAAATCCATATGGAATCCTGAGATTCCCACGCACGCGACCCGGAAATGTGCGATTTTCCGGTCACTGGGTTACAAATCCGCGATTTGCATATGCGAGAAATAAGAAAAAAATAAATAAGTAGATGAAAAAAAAAATATATGTTATGACGAAGAAGAATAATAAAAAACTCACCGAACTTGACCCACAAAACCCGGCGCGACGCAAATCAAAACAATAAAGACTAATATGTTAATGTTCTTTCTTTCTGTCTGGTTCTTTTAGGTAGCACCGGAAGGAACATAAGGAATTTACCATGCGTTTCCAGGAAGAGCAATCTGAGCGGAGTCTGCATGTTCGCAATAGACTGTTTGAAGGCAAATGGTACACATTTGGGCACATGCATTGACAGATTCTACTTCGGTTCGTGCTGTCACATCGACCCCATAGATGAGCTGGACATCATACCTTCAAGGGAACCACCACATAGGACTTCTTCCAGCACGACCAGCCCTTCAACTGTAACAATAACTACAACAACCAAGGCCAAACCTCAGTTAACTGAACTAACGTTGATTGCCAAAGTAACGGAAGCAACGCCGTTCAAAACAACGAATCCGTACTCCCTTCAAACATTCCAGAGCGTCGAAAACAACGAGATCACGACGACGTTGAAACCTTTTCCGGTTACGAAACGCCCAACATCGAAACCCGTAAAACCCGTCACTGTCAAACCCAAACCAAAACCATCTACAAAACCATCGCTCAACATCACAGTAATCACAAGACCAACGCGGCCACGCGTCACTACAAAACCCACAAAAATCACAAAACCAACCACGATAAAACCCATCAAAACGACAACTAGCAAAAAAATCATCACTACAACGACTCCAACACCTACTACGATAATAACAACAAGGAAACCAATTACAACAACTACAGCAACTAAAAAACCAGTTGTGGTGACTACAACGAAAACTCCAATTATTATAACTACAACTAAAAAGCCTTTGGTGACTACGACTAAGAAACCTGTAACGACCACAACAACCACCACTCAAAAAACTACAACCACCAGGAAAACAACTAAGAAGCCAATAACTACAATTAAAACAACTACAGAACCACAAACAACCACAAGAGCTACAACCACTACTGTTAAACCTGAAGTATCGCCACAGGCCACCACAGCAACAGCATCAACCACTGAGACTCTTGTTAAAGTACCGGTGGTGCAAGATGAACTGCAAACTGCAACGGCTACAACAACCATGAAAACTACAACGATGGAATCGAGTAACGAATTACCGGTGGATGTAAACGCTACCTCATTATTAGAATCGGTGAACGGAAATCCTGCAACGAATGAAATCGAATCGGTGAAACCTGCAATTACCGCAGAAACTGAAGGAACGACATCATCAAATTTGATTACATGGGCTGAAATCAATGCCAATACGACAATTGTTACAACGACGACCGTGCCGACGACAGCACCGACGACAACCTCCTCGATCTTAAACGCAACAACAGGTAATTATTCAAATCACAAGCAATTAAATAAATGATAAATTTTCAAGTTCAATTATGCAATAAAGCTGAGAAAAGGGCGTCGGCATTATCCAAATATTTACCTTCTCCTTGAATGCTTTAATTAACGATCAAAGCTGGAGATCCCGAGGATGGGGAACGAGCATAACTGTCTACAAGATATATAATAAGGCCCGTTAATCTTTGCAAATTTATGTTCGCTCCAAAACACACCGTTCGCATTGTTTCCTCAGGTACACTTGGTCGAAAGAAAATGCTAATCTGTGATAGATAGTTAATTGCACAAAAGAGAGATAGAGAGTGTAAGTTATAAATGTTTCAAATTGTAACAATGGTTCGTTTAATATTCGTATTGTTCTCGAAAAGATAATTCACATAACTGTAAACACACCAAAAATACCTTTACTTGTTTATTTAAATTCGACATTGCATTGTTTACGATGATGCATCATTTGAATACTTGTTACACACGCTCTCTTCATTTCTTCTTCCATGGAAATCTTTCTAAAAATCATAGCTCTACGTGCTCGGATTGTTTCATTCGCGACGAATTATGTGACGTACATTATTTAATTTTTAGAGTAACATTATCATTTAAAACGAGTCCAGTAACTACAAGAAATATAATTTATCGAACAAAAGTTATGATTTATTTGGACGTTTATAAATTAATAATACCAGGAAGCTATTCATAATCTGAGGGAACTAATTTTATGGTTCGCATTGATAGATCGTCTGTGATAATGGCATTAAATTGCTTTCAGGATGAATTATGTTTCTTCCTCGTAACGTGTTTTGCCACGGCTTTTGATAATAATCTCTTTGTATTACAATTTGCAAGAACCGGAAGACTGGGTACCGATAACTAATGGATGGGTTCTTTTGACGGAGCCTTCGAAGGATGCAACAACGGCCACAACTCAAAAAGAGGCTGCATCTACCATGACTTCTACTATGCCCTCAACCCTGTCTGCATCTACAACTACTACAACCGGTGCAGCCACGGAAACCGCAAGTACATCATCATCCGTTGAATCCGTGGTGACATCGATGTCATCCGAAGTGAACAGCTTAGGATCGGAAGGAAGCACCATGGATACGATAACCGAAACCACATCAAGCGATCAATCGCTTAACATGAGCGATTTCACAGACGGTGAGTGCCTGTGTTTATGTAGGAAATTAGATCGCTCGTTTTACATAATGGAAGCTTCTCCGCTAATCCTCTGGGGATTTAAAGTTTAGAGGTTATCAAAGGGCAGCCGCCCTTCAGCCAAACGAGTCAAAGAGCTTATGTCAACGGGATTGGATTACTAAGCTGACACTTATGTCACCGGAATATAAATCATTTTATTGAAAATCACATATACATTTCATTAACTTATTATCACATAATACATTTACAACCAAGAAGATAATTCAAATATTGAATTATTAATTAATACTTCATAGAACAAATTCAAATTAAACAATTATAACTATAAGACTTATATTAATTATATATTATATATACAGTGGAACCTCGCTTAACGATTATTATGCTTAACGATCAAAATAAATTGTAAGACAAATGAATCGCAAAGTGGAACACTTTATGGTTATTACATTAGTTTATATGGGGAAAATTGCTTCACTATACTAGTAAAAATCCAGAAATTTTAGAACGGTTTATACTCGTTAAGCAAGGTTTCACTGTATTATATAAGTACATTTACTTCTAATCTGTTAGATTAGGAACTCCTACATGTTTTAATAATATATGAGGTATTAAGATTTATTTTTCTTGTAAACTATTTTCAATTTGTGTTCTAAATCTCTAATAATATTTTCTCTAAATTTATTTTCTGATTTAATTTATAATGCATATTTAAATGCAGTAATTTCATTATAAATAAAATTAATTCAGTTCAGTAATTGGGAATGTATACATAAATTTAACATAAAGCAATACTTATTTATTCAAATTAATTTCCAAAATGTTATTACTTGATTAACTTATTTGAATACTACATATATGTTAATAAGTCATATAGTTCAAAAATCTAGTGATCTATAAATTAGGTAAATGTCCTTTGAAATAACGTATATGAAAATTGATGTACGATAATTGTTGTATTTGGGATTTCGATCGAATCTAATGGTTGTTTTCGTATTTTTGCACGATTCTTAATTTATTTAAATGATATTGATGTGTGTTACGTCCGCAATTAACATAAGAAGTTGTCCGAAACCAAATAGTGTGAATGCGTTTGTTTTCGAGCTGTCGGGACTTTCGATTTCAAGCGTTGTAATTTGTTGGGATTGATGGCAAAAAGGAAGGAAATTCCGTGCCGGTAATGAGGTCTGTATATCCCGAATCAGGTTTCTCTGCTCATTGCTGCTGCTGCCTTGACTCCTAGTTCATGAACCTTCAAGGTAATACCACATCTAAGTAGCCACAACCTCGACACTTAATGCTTTAAAATAAAACTATGCAGAACGCGTCTGCACTTCTTAGTCTCACATAGTCTCACCACGTTGTGTATGTGCGTATGTCGTTTTCGTTTTGGTTCCCACCGGACAATAAATAAGCGAGACGAGGGAACAACAAGAACGCACACATAAAAAAAGCGAACGCAAATCGATCAACTCGGATGAAACGGACGATTCTAAAGTGAAGTTTATCTTATTTTTTTGTTGCTGTTGTTTTTGCTTGTTATTCGTTGCATCATTACATGTGTGCGCGTTCATTTTCTGGAGATAATGGTTATGCTAAGTTCTGCACTTTTGTTGGCAACAGTTTGCGGTCGCAGGATGTTTCCGGAAGCGAGGATAGTTGGCGGGGAGAAGTCGCCGTTCGGAAAATGGCCCTGGCAGATATCCTTAAGACAATGGAGGACCTCAACCTATCTGCACAAGTGCGGAGCTGCACTCCTTAACGAAAATTGGGCCATAACTGCAGCCCATTGTGTCGACAAGTAAGTAACGATAATCTTCTTATATTATTAAAAAAAAACGAACCTCTGTGCATTTCACTTCCTTTTCCGTTCGAAACTTTAACTAAAGCAATTCCCATCGCAATTATGCGATTTAATTACAAACTTTAACGGTTTTAATTAAAATCATTTAACTCTATTATTTTTTAATATTGGAAGTAAATTCTGTATTTACTTTTAGCAAAAAAAAAACTTATGACTTGCGCATATATTTTTAATAACAAAGTATATCTTATATAATTTTATGATTCTATATTGTTTAAAATATTCCAGTATTTTCAATTTCTTGCATATTTACTGACATACTATATATTTTTAAAACAGAAAAAAATAATTTTACTATACTCTTATATTGATATTGAAGTATTGTTAACAAGTAAGTCTCATTTTAGAGGGTACAAATTATGGAATTATATCTAAAAATTTAAATATAATAACACATTACCTTGTGAGATACTTAAATATTTTCAGCATAAATGTTTACATGACGACTATTACAATTTGATAAGGAAGTTTAATTACATCATTAATTTTGTGCAATTATACATACCTTTTTCTATTGAAGTTATTCAACGGATTAAATAATCGAGTTTGTGCTATTCGAAATCCACTTAACTTGACAAATTACTTGACGTTTGAAGATGACGTTAAATCAGCGTCGGAGTCGCATGTAGTTACACAAATTTAACAGGAAGCAATTAAGGGGAGAGCCGGATTAATAGCGCCTCGGGCCTTACGAAATTCTCGATTAACAGCGACTTCATCCGACTAGGAAGCAAGAATCACGTGAAAATAATAATGGAAGACAAGGCTGCGGTAATTTCTCGTCATCTGGGAAAAAAAGGAAGGAAGAAGCAAAATACCGTACGTTCTTTTGGATGAATACAAACATAAAGAACATGTACAAATACAGTCATATTACTGCAAGAAGATCTCAAGGTTTCAAGGCGGATGGTAAACGACATCGTCGGCAATTAAAATTGCGAACCTATTAAGTTCGTTTTTACATTCGTAAATGTCGCAATTGAAACTCACTACTTGCTACCATTATTTTAAATTGATGGACATAATGATTTAAAAGTAAAAAATCTTTTATTGTCAATTCAATGACATGTTAAAAAAATGCACATAACATTAATATTTATATATTAACTATAATTACATAAAAGAGAAATATATAAAAATATAAGTTGAATTTATTTTGATAAACATATTATAAGTTTTACAGTGGATGATTAAAAATAAATAAACGCATAATTCTATGCGTTAATAATGATATTTTCAAAACATTAAAGTCTATGTAAACCTACAGAAAATGCTTCATCATACAAGTACCAAGGAGAAGATGTTTAAATCAATGGTCATCATTTTTCAGTCAAGTCATTTGATAACTTGATCCTCGCCCATGTTTTTACTATCTTAACAACATCTTGGATAGTGTAGGTTATGTATTATAACAATAAGATCTTTATTAGATCCAATGACTAGACTAGAGCATTGCACATCATCGACATGAAAATACCGATACAAGTCAATTAAAAACAAAACTGACTCATTGTATTTTGTATATTGATACTGAAAAGAAGTAAAAAATGTATGCTGCAAAATAGCTTTCGTAATAGCGAAATAACATTAAAATACATGTAAAAAAAACTGGCTAGAAATTGTAGGTATTGCGTTATAAACAATGTGTTTATTTGGAACTAGTTATTAAATATGAATAAATACATTTCCAGTTTATTTCCATTTTTTTGCAACTTTAATTTAATTTTTCCATATAGTTTATCAATCTGAATATGAATAAGAATTTATAATCTGGATTCTTCAATCCAAATATTTATTTGAATCATTATGTTTTATATCAAATCATATAAAATCACAACTTATCACTTATTAATGCTTAATAAAAATTGTAGTTAAGATTTAAATAAACTTTTTTAGAAATTTCTACAAGTAATTAATATTATATAAATATATTTATTGTCAAAATGAATAGTAGAAATTTCCAAAAAATATTGTTTTTGTTTATTTCAATATAAAGCAGACTTTAACTGCAACTTAAGAATTATATATTCGCTTATAACTGTTAAATATTTAAATTTTCTTTATTTCATAATATTTCTGTTACATAAATAACACCTATTATTATTACAATAAAATAAAACACGTTAAATGATTTCTGCGTATATGTCGAGAATGCAAATGATTTGTTTTCCATGGGCATCCTCTGCACAAAACAAGTTTTATATAATTGTAACTAGATAAAGCAGCGTGTTCGTGACTGGATGCCTGTTCTTCATTAGCGAAAGCCATTACGTAACGGCCTGCTGAGTATTTTCAATTGTTGCCATCTCCTCGTTCGCAAACGGATTAAAGTGTGTGTATCTGCACCTTGTGAGTTTCCCATTCTCGTGGTAGTTTAAAGTATGAGCCAAGTTGGGAACTTGTGTTTGTTGTTCGATAGTTAATCACCGAAGAACAACAGACTGGGAAGTCGTGCAACAGAGAGATGCTAGGGCGTATTCCGCGCCGAAAGCAAATTGGCACATCCTCAGGGTTTAATTAAATATAATTTATATATGAGATACTTGCGCTCTGCACAACTTCCTTTATAGTAACTTCTGCTCTTTCGCACCGCAGAATGAGAAAAAATTCAATTAGATTGAAACGAGGATAATTCTTGAGAGTTGTCTACAAATCTAATGTACCATTGTTATATGCAACATAAATAATGACAATGTTTTTGTTAAATGAATATTCATTAATTTATGAAAGAAATTCATTATATTTACATGTAAATGAAGAATTTTCATAATTGAATTTATGTGTTTCTTTAACTTGACGTTCATTATATAATATTCATGTAGAAAATATGAAAATATAAAGTATAAAATGAACTTTGAGTAGTTTTCCGGGAAATTTATATTTCTTCTTTAGAACTCTCGAAAAGTGTAGATGTAGAATTATTTATTTAAATTTAAAATTAATTTGATTATAATTATTTTTAATCTTGGTAGCAATTCTATTCTACGTTCAAAATAATTTGTTTTCTTTCTTACATCTTCTCTGCATCTTTAACACGTACTTCCCGAATAGATACTTATCTAAACTGCATTAACATTACATTATAAATGATCTTGAGTTAACTGTAATCCATTAGCCTGGCTCGCTTAGGCTAATGATTATGTAAGATATCTATGTACTTGATTTTACTTATTTTGCTTGTCTTTTTTGTAGCGTTCCACCAAGTGATTTGCTACTGCGATTGGGTGAGCACGACTTATCGGCGGATACTGAACCGTATCTTCACGAGGAGAGGAGGGTGCAGATCGTTGCCTCGCATCCGCAATTCGATCCAAGGACTTTCGAATACGATCTGGCCCTTTTGAGATTCTATCAGCCGGTCAAATTCCAGCCAAACATTCTTCCGGTCTGCGTACCACAGGACGATGAACACTTCGTCGGAAAAACGGCATACGTCACTGGATGGGGCCGATTATACGAAGGTAAGACAAGTGGTCAGACTGTTAGTCATACGTTAAAGTCTAAGGGTGGAAGAATGTCGTATACTCAGACCTCAAATATGTGTTTATCAAATTGGTATTGGTATTTTATACTGAAGGTTTACATTCCACATTCATAATTTAAATATAAATTTAAAGTATATGGAATAAAAATTTTAATCATTTCTTCTATTTAGAAACATAAAATAATAATATTAATGATTATTATTAATTAATGATTCATGGAAATTGCGATTATACCGAAAGTATGCCATTTTAGAAATTGCTTTCAAACAGGTTATTAATGTAAAATTCGTTTATAATACTGTACATTTTTAGAGAAAAATTACTAGTTTCGTACAAGTTTCTAATAATTTCGATTAAAATTTCACAGAAGCGCATATAGACAAATATGTTCTTATTATTACTATAGCACCTTATTATAACGCTTTAATATTTATAGCGAATATTAACAAATGAATTTAGTTTATTATTATTATTTAATTATTTTTTCTGTTGAATACAAATTTAAATTTTATTGTCAAAATTTTCATATATAAATGAAATATTATGACTACTTCGATTTTAAATTTGCAATGATTAATAAAAAGTCGTATTAGCTAAATGAGAACTGAAATGTATGCTAGGAACATCTCAATTAGACAAATTTAATCCTTTAAACTTTTTATTTAATTTTTATATATATGAAAAATATGAATAGATCCAAAAAGTATTACCAAAAATAATTCAATTTTATTTTAATTTTATTATAATTTAATGAGGATTATTTATATTTCACGTTTTAAGAGAATTAAAATCAATTATAAATTATACAAAATTAAGATGTTCGTTAATTTAGGAAATTGAGAAAATATAGAGATGGCGCTTATGTCAAGTTTGTCATTAAACTATATCATGATTTTCAATTGTAAAGAACAATAAAATCTATTGTGTAGTCAATAAGCACCGAAAGGGTGGCAGAAATAGGGCCTTAGACATAAATAATTGCTTAAATATTTAAAAAAATACAAATTGTTGTTATATTATTACTATTAATCTTATAGAATTAATAGATTAACTATCAAATTGATCCGATATGGAATTTATACAATAATAAATAAACAAAGGTGTTAATGATTTTCAATCATAACTGTTTAGTAATTAACATTATTATCGCTTATAATCTAAAATAATAGTATGTTCATTATTAAGGTTGTATCAATCTTATTAGAAATTGTACTAACTACTAAATTAATTTTTGTGTTGATATTATAGTATTTATAGTTTACCTTTTATTTGCAGATGGGCCACTGCCTAGTGTTTTGCAAGAAGTTTCGGTTCCAGTCATAAATAATACAGTGTGCGAGTCCATGTATCGATCGGCAGGGTACATAGAGCACATCCCGGATATCTTCATCTGCGCCGGATGGAGGCGAGGTGGATACGACTCGTGCGAAGGAGACTCCGGTGGTCCCATGGTTATACAGAGGCCTGACAAGAGATTCCTCCTCGCCGGAGTCATATCCTGGGGAATCGGATGCGCCGAACCGAACCAACCTGGAGTCTACACGAGGATCAGCGAGTTCAGAGAGTGGATAAACCAGATATTGAAATTCTAAAAAAAAATACCGTGACTTAGTGTATACAATTACTGTGTGATGATAATGATGATGACTTTGACCGCTCGCGAATAGACGATTCCCACAATTCAAGATAACTCGTGTCTCCTCTTTTAGTTTTTATGTATAAATATTATTTATTATTTAGCAGAGTTTTTTAAATATCGATAAAGAATCAAATCTAATGAAATATTCTAATTCGTTTAATTTATCTACATTTATATAAATATATTTTTTTATATACGATTTTTTTACATATTATTCGTGAATATTGGAATTACAATTCCTAGTGGCGTTCCAACGAATCTTAGGATAGATTTTCATCTACTTGTATTTAATTCTCCAGAGATTCTCAGTTGGTTTAATTTAAATATTCTCGAATGATTCCTGCGATTGTGGAATTTACCCCTCTTCTGTATATATAATTATTGGTGTAATGATGATGATAAGTTATTTCTTATTTTGTACAATAAATTATTATTTATTATAAACTTATTTATTTCACATGTTTCATTACCATTCATTAAATCATAAAACTTTATTATTAATTGAAATAAGTAAACAAAAAACCTATCTATAATTACAATAACACTAAAGATCTTCTATTATATTATGCAGCATTTTTTGATACAAAAAAAACATTTAAGATTTAGCAATATGATGAAAATAAATCCAGTAAATTAAAAAAAAATTACTTGAATAGTCAATACAGGTGAAAATGCAACAAGTATATTATATTTACCTAAAACATTAAAAAAAATCTAAAAATAAACAAATACAAAATTAAAATACATTTATATAATCGTCATAATTAATATATAAAATAAATTAAAACAAAATATTGCATAGAAGTTCCATACTATGTTTTTATTTTTGGGACAGAAAAACATATGATCAGTAGCCTTTTGCAACAGCTAACTTGTTTCAGTAATATAATTAACATTGTATACAAAGGTTTGATTTTGTTGTTTTTTTTTGTTTCATTAATCAATTGTATTTATTGTAAAATAGATGATTATATAATATTTATAGTAAATGGACAATTTTTTTAATGTTATTTATAATTATTGAAATAGGTGACCGATTGAATAGGTGTCAAAAAATCAATCACCGCTTTAAGAAGCGACTTAAGCTTCATATCACCACTAGCTTTAACTGCCAAAAGTAACGTCAATCTGTCGGTAGGGTATTCGTTATCAGAATATTATTATTATTGGAAGATATTTTTCTTGGGAAAGTTTACGTTATTCGAATTTTTCGTTCTCCGAATTGTACGTTAATTAATCATCCACTGTATTAGAAATGATGAATTGTACATAGTAATGAAATGGCATTGTAAATACAGTGGAACCTCGACTAACGAGCATCTCGCATAACGAGCAAAATTTATTATAAGAGAAATGACGTTGAGAAGAGAAGTACTGGATTGCGCGCACGTCATTTTTAAAACCTGTGAATATGTTTCATTATACGAGTAAAAATCCGGAAATTTTGAATCGGATTAAACTCGTTAAGCGAGGTTCCACTGTTATTATAATTGAGAGATAATAATACAAACTGTTCGATATAAAATTAAATTAAACTAAAATTAGTCGATTTAAGTAACTTAATCTGTTACACGATTAAGGTAATACCATTATTCGTAATTAATAATAATCAAAATTACCAACTATTAATTATTGTCACTGAAGCTATCCTCCCTCGTATAAGAAGATTAAGGGATCGTTGATCATTCTTGTGAACATAATGATCGTGCCACACAACACCTGTCAACATGTATAGGTGTTTCCCGTCATTATCCCGGCAATTCTGTATATATTATATAACGAACACTGACACAATATACCTTCAGTTACGTCGGGTTACATTAATCCTCTTAGCACATTCCAATAGAATATCTATTATGTAATCCTCCCCTTTAATGCATCTCAAAAGATGGACCAAATTTTTTCCAAAAGCCTTTCTAGAGAAACCCATATTAAATTTTAAAAAAACTCTATTGTATCCGTTATAGCATGTGGTATTTTAATCCCCTTTGCATATTCAAATGCACAAAACGCACAAAAAATTTGTGTTTCATTCAATTTATAAAATATTTTTTCTAATTCTATTCATTTAAACCTAAAATATTTCTATTTATTAAATTGTAAAGGACTTTATAAATGTAATGATAAATAGTTTTAATTTACGTTATTACATTATTAATTTCTTATGAAATTTCAGAATTATTTAAATCTAAAATATTTGTATCAAAAGCTAATTTGTATGTGACTTTATGTGACTCTTTATTTACTTCAGTTAACAGATTTAATATCTTTAGATAAATATTTTGTATACATCTTTATCCAAGTGAATTTCATATTTATTTGAGTTAGTTCAAATTATTATTTCTTGATAACTACGCATTTCAGAAAGTTCATACAGGAAATGTAAATTAGTTTCTAGTGGAATGTATGCACATGCAAATATAGTACGAAAGTTTTATAACGTGAATTCAATTCTCTGGAGCTGTTTGAGACGAGTTGTTAAAACTTGTTTCATATTCAAGAGCTTCCTGTTATAAACCTTTTCAGTTGCCTCATGCAAAATTTCATACCGAAAATGAATACATCTATCACAAAACAATGGAAAATAACAACAGCAATAAATGATAATGATAAATAGTTATTAAGTTGAATTTGAAAGATTTGAACAAAATCAATAAGTATTTTGTATTGTTAATTTTATATATATGTAACTATTATTAAATTTCAAATAATTAGTCCCAGACCTTATTCAACATTATACTTTAATTCGGAAATTCTTGAAACCAAACTTGTTTTTTCATAACTAGGAACTAGAAAAAAGTCTCGTAAAAACTGAGATCAATAAAATTCTGCGTTTTAGGCACAGAAAAATGGCATGAAATATCTTCGCTCGGCACATCAGGGCAGTCCATTTGAGCAGTAGCTACTTTCTTTAAGCAGACTGATTCTAAATAACAGTGAACCGAATTCTAGAAAGAAAACATTATAATATACTATACGGGAATCCGCAATGATGATGTCAAGCCAAGTTAAGGTCGAGAAACGATCAAGCTAAGGTGAGCAATTAAGGGCGATGCAACCTACTTTATGGGATAATCTACCGAGACGATGTGTTATATTAGTTGGCATATCACCAATAGATTTTCTAGCTATGGAAAAGTGCAGCTCAGAGGAGAGCCTGGACTCGACACCTAATTCCAGATATAGAGGATTGAATAAATAGAAAACAATAGAAAAATACTGTTACTGCGGATGACAGCCTTTCCTCAAATACTGCACATACTTTCCTCAAATGCTGCAGATGGTCAAAAATGAAGCACGAGGCGGTGCAATACTCGGGAACTGCTTTAACCAGAGATCTTCATTAGTGAAATTCTGAAGTCCGAGATAGTAGAGCCACTAAGGAATAAAACGAGCGGAGGCTGGTGAGGTCCAACAAAGAAAGTGTTAGGAGAATATTTTATTTTTATAAAACTATTTGGAAGTAATTTCTATATGTCAGAAATGGAAACAAAATTTATTTTCTTTTTTTTGTATTATGGCTAAACACATATTCTACTTATTGTTTAATTGAAATGCCTGTAAATTAGAAATAAAAGATATAAAAAAAATAATAAGAATTATTTAATAATAATTGATTTACATAAATAAACAGCAAACTTTATAAGACTTGCATGATATACATAAACTGTGTTAAGTATTAAATGAAATTATATTTAAACTAGTTTATTAACAACAAGATCGGATATGTTTTATATATAACATACTTTTATGTAAATTATGCTAGTGGATTAATATTCATTAAACAAAATATAAACTCTTGTATATGTATTTTGCAAACAATTCTAGAACCTTAACAAATTACTAATAATAATAACTTGTATTTGACCATAAATGATAAAAATGTAATAACTAAACTAGATAGATTTGTTATAACATCGTATTGAAAAAAGGAATTATTCTTTAACTAGTATAATTTGTATATGTACATCCACAATAAGATGTTTAAGAAATCCATGTAAATATATATTTAATATCAAAATATATTTTTTTAAAATTAGAGAGAAATATTTGTAATTTATCAGAACAAAAAAGAATGACTTCTTAAATAAAATACAGCGTCAACTTAACTGATACCAAACCATCAGTTTGGCTTTTGTTGCAAACACGGCACAATAGAGCAAGTAAACACCATCTACCAAAACCTGGAAAGTAAAAGATACTGCCCGGCTGCCTTTTTTGACATATCGCAAGCATTTGACAAAGTTTGGCATCTCGGACTACTATATAAAATAAAGAAGAATATAATTATTTTAAAATATTAAAATCATATCGATAATAGAATGTTTCAGGTAGAAATAGAAGACGAATAAACCGATTTATATCTAATAGACTTAGGGGTGCCGCAAAGAAATGTTTTAGGACCACATAGGACCTTCTATACATGTAAGATATTCCTAAAACTAGCATTAATACGATTGCAATCTTGGCATCAGATGAGAATATCTACAGGAAAATTCATATAAGCTACAAGAATTGCTTAAAAATTCGAGAATAGCAGTTAACCAAATAAAATCCATGCATATCACATTCACACTAAAAAAGCCCAACTGTAAGACTAGATCTGCCCAAATCAACAAAATTCAAATATCTAGGCATGCATCTCGATAGAAGACTTACTTGGAAAGACCACTTTCAGGCTAAGACAGAGCAATTAGAAATAAAGTTTAGAAAACTCTAAAACTTCTAAGGAAAAGCTCAGAATTATCAGTGGAAAATAAATTATTTATATAAAAAGTAATTCTGAAACCAGTATGGAAGTATGGTATCCAGTTGTGGGATACGGACAGTAAACATACGAACATACAAATTATACAAAAGTTCCAATCAAAATGCCTAAGAAATATTATTATGGCTCCATGATTTCTCAAGAATAAACAAATACACGAAGATCTTCATATAGATATGGTCGAGGATACAATACCAACATTTAGTAGTAGATACCAAAATAGACTGGAGTCACCTACTAATGTTTTGTCCTACTCGACAATAGTGAAACCACAAATAGGC